GGTACAGCTCAGCCAGAAACTTGTGGAGACCATGCCCATGGCTCCGGTGTTCCATATAAACTTGGACGAGATTGACGGTGAAGACAAGGCGGCGATGCAGACTCTTATGGGGTGCACGGCGTTCGCTGAGTTCAAAAGTTTCCTCGAGAGACAGAAGTCAGAGCCCAAGGCAGCCCCAGCAGCCTCGCTGTTCGACACGCAAGGGGATGTCAGCATAGGCCAGCCCGAAGCTAGTCACCTGCTAGGTCGCCTTTCGCTTGTGTTCATGACCCTCTCGGTGGAGCGGCCCAGCAGCAGGTTCCAGACTTGAATGATGCCGAGCTCGATGAGATTTTCTTCAGTGCACAGCGACTGGACAAGCGTGTGTTCGAAGAACACCTGAGGGCCCTGCTTAAGAAGCAGAGGTGCGGGTAGCAGCCCGCCTCTCCCTCGGTGCAGCGGCACGCCGATACCACCCCCTCCTCCTCCTCCTCCTCCTCCTTGTCCGACCTCTGTCCTTGGGGTGCTTGGCGGAGGCGAACGCATTGAAAATTACAACGACAATGCGTGGCAAACCTTCCAAGATTCTCATCTTCCTCGCCCGGGAGGTCGACTTCCTCGAGGATCGCTCGGGGGCAAAACGTGATGATGTGGCTAAGCTGGGATGGAAAATGGCTTCTCCGTCCTCCGTTCCTGGCCAGTCGGGGAAACCCAAGTGGGGGGTGGCGGTCCTGGTTCGTCAAACTTTGGGCCTCAGGTGGCCTTCTGATGGATCTGGCACGGTGGTCCCTGGTTGGATCATCAAAGCGGTTGTGGACATCCCCTCCTGGCCCCCCTGGCTGTCGTGTGTGTACGTTAAGTCTGGCACTTGGCTATGTGAGCCCAACCTCGAGGTTTTAAAGAAGTTCGGGGCGACCCTTGACAGGGATCATATTTTTCTGGTCGGAGGCGACTGGAACCTCGAGCCCAATGTGGTGGAAAGCACAAGACTTCCGCGCCGACTAGACGCATCTCTTTTTGTATCCTCGCAGCGCACCTGTGTCTCTCCCACCGCCCTCACCACCATTGCCCTTTTCATGGTCAGCACAAACATGGCCAGAGCGGTGGAGCAGGTGGATGGGAAGGCCCCACAGGCCAGTGCAATTTAAGCTTCGTGCCTACGCGATTCACTTATATCACCTGTCATACCACATCCAGAAACGTCTTCCCGTTGCGTTGCCTGTGGGACCTACCCCGTGCCCCAAATATTAGACTGTACCTGAGGACCTGGCCGAGACGGCGGCGGAGGCTGCGCTGAATCAACCTGTCGGCCAGGGCTGGGCTCTTTTAACTCATGCCAGGGCCAAGGTTTTTGCCCCAACAAGTTGGAGTTGAATTCGAATCGTTCCTTGGTGTGGAGATTCACTAGCAACGGCCATAAAAGAACCTTACCTCAAGGCTCGCTGGGTCCCCATTGTTTCCAGGCCTAAGGGGGTCACGAAGGATAGTGTCAGTTCTGGTTGGATTCGGTTAGCGCAAAACCTCAAAGAAAAGGTTGGCGTGGCCCATAGGCCCCAAGGTTTTCAGAGACCTGAGGTGGATCCCAGTAAGCTTGAAGATGTGCACCAAAACGTGAAACAACACATACATCAATTTCAGGTGCAACCGGTCCCGGGTGAGGGCTTGAGCATGAGGCTGGACGCCACGGTCAAGCAAGCCCGAGATTGAATCGGTGGGTGGACACCCACCTCAGCTACGTGGATGCAGGCAGCCCATGAGTTCAGCATCAGCATCATCACCATCATCATCACCATGACCACCATATCATCATCATCATCATCAGCAGCAGCAGCATCATCACCATCATCATCATCATCAGCATCATCATCATCCACAGCATCATCTTCATCATCATCATCCACAGCATCATCTTCATCATCATCAGCATCCTCATCATCCTCATCAACATCATCATCATCATCATCATCATCATCATCATCACCAGCATCATCATCATCAGCATCATCATCATCATCATCATCATCATCGTCATCATCATCATTATATTATTCATTGCTCCTCCTGCTCCTCATCCTTCTCCGCATCATCACCACCACCACCATCACCATCACCATCATCATCAGCATCATCATCAGCATCATCATCAGTATCATCACCATCAGCAGCAGCATCATCATCACCACCACCATCATCATCATCAGCAAAAGCATCAGCATCAGCATCAGCATCAGCATCATCATCATCATCATCAGCAGCAGCATCATCGTCCACATCCTCGTCCTCATCCTCGTCCTCATCATCCTCCTGGTCCTCCTCCTCCTCGTCCTCCTCCTCCTCCGCCTCCTCACCATCCTCCCCATCCTTCCTCCTCCCTCCACCCTCCTCACTCCTCCCTCCTACTTCCCCCTCCTCTCGCCTCCCGCCTCCCGCCTCCCGCCTCTATCCTCCCCTTAGTCGTAAGTCGTCCGTTGTCGGCGTCGAGGTCGTCATCGTCGTCGTGGTCGTGTCAACCACCAGCATCTGGAGCGCCTCGGATCGGCGGCACTGGCCGGAGGCCATTCAATTACCCTGGCGAAGGACCCAACCATATGCAATTGTGAATACCGCAATTGTGAATATCTTCTTCGGTGGCGCTCCCTATGGGGCCACGAAACGTGTGAGGGGTGTGCCGAAATGGGTGCGCGGGACGCGTGCGGGCACACCCACTGGGACCTTCGGTGGAGCTCCCTATGGGGCCACGAAACGTGTGAGGGGTGTGCCGAAATGGGTGTGCGGGACGCGTGCGGGCACACCCACTGGGACCTTCGGTGGAGCCCCCTACGGGGCCACGAAACGTGCGAGGGGTGTGCCGAAATGGATGTGCGGGACGCATGCGGGCACACCCACTGGGGCCTTCGGTGGAGCTCCCTATGGGACCACGAAACGTGTGAGGGGTCACGAAACGCGTGAGGGGTGTGCTATTGGGTGTGCGGGACGCATGCGGGCACACCCACTGAGGCCTTCGGTGGAGCTCCCTATGGGGCTACGAAACGTGTGAAGAGCATGCCGAAATGGGTGTGCGGGACGCATGCGGGCACACCCACTGGGACCTTCGGCGGAGCTCCCTGTGGGGCCACGAAACGCGTGAGGGGTGTGCCGACATTGGTGTGCGGGACGCATGCGGGCGGCAGCACTGGGGCCTTCGGTGGAGCTCCCTATGGGGCCACGAAACGTGTGAGGGGTGTGCCGAATGGGTGTGCGGGACGCATGCGGGCACACCCACGGGGCCTTCGGTGGAGCTCCCTTGGGGCCACGAAACGTGTGAGGGGTGTGCCGAATTGGGTGTGCGTGACGCATGCGGGCGGCAGCACTGGGGCCTTCGGCGGAGCTCCCTATGGGGCCACGAAACGTGTGAGGGGTGTGCGAATTGGGTGCACGCATGCGGGCGGCAGCACTGGGGCCTTCGGCGGATGGGGCCACGAAACGTGTGAGGGGTGTGCCGAATTGGGTGTGGGTTGCGGGCGGCAGCAGGGGTACACAACGCATGGGGTGTGACTGAATTCTGAACCGATTGCGGCAGCACTGGGGCCTTCGGCGGAGCTCCCTATGGGGCCACGAAACGTGTGAGGGGTGTGCCGAATTGGGTGTGCGTGACGCATGCGGGCGGCAGCACTGGGGCCTTCGGCGGAGCTCCCTATGGGGCCACGAAACGTGTGAGGGGTGTGCCGAATTGGGTGTGGGTGACGCATGCGGGCGGCAGCACTGGGGCCTTCGGCGGAGCTCCCTATGGGGCCACGAAACGTGTGAGGGGTGTGCCGAATTGGGTGTGCGTGACGCATGCGGGCGGCAGCACTGGGGCCTTCGGCGGAGCTCCCTATGGGGCCACGAAACGTGTGAGGGGTGTGCCGAATTGGGTGTGGGTGACGCATGCGGGCGCAGCACTGGGGCCTTCGGTGGAGCTCCCTATGGGCCACGAACGTGTGAGGGGTGTGCCGAATTGGGTGTGGGTGACGCATGCGGGCGGCAGCACTGGGGCCTTCGGCGGAGCTCCCTATGGGCCACGAAACGTGTGAGGGGTGTGCCGAAGAAATGTGGGGCCGCCGGTGCGCAGCATGTCAGCACTGGGGCCTTCGGCGGAGGGGCCACGAAACGTGTGAGGGGTGTGCCGAATTGGGTGTGGGTGACGCATGCGGGCGGCAGCACTGGGGCCTTCGGCGGAGCTCCTATGGGGCCACGAAACGTGTGAGGGGTGTGCCGAACTGGGTGTGGGTGACGCATGCGGGCGGCAGCACTGGGGCCTTCGGCGGAGCTCCTATGGGGCCACGAAACGTGTGAGGGGTGTGCCGAATTGGGTGTGGGTGACGCATGCGGGCGGCAGCACTGGGGCCTTCGGCGGAGCTCCCTATGGGGCCACGAAACGTGTGAGGGGTGTGCCGAACTGGGTGTGGGTGACGCATGCGGGCGGCAGCACTGGGGCCTTCGGCGGAGCTCCTATGGGGCCACGAAACGTGTGAGGGGTGTGCCGAAGTGGGTGTGGCTGACGCGGAGGGGGATGAGAGAGGAGGGGGCAGAGGAGGAGAGGAGAGGAGGGGTGAACGCGGGGACCGTCTCTTCAAAACGAGGACCCAACACCACAGGATGGTTGGGAATAAAACACAAGAGAGGAGGACGCATGTGTTCCGAAAGGGCTGCGAGGCCCGAAGAGAGAATCTCGGCCTCATCATCCCAAACCCGCTTCCCTCTCAATCCTCCTGCATCGTTTCTCCTCCATCCTCCTCATTCCTCCGCCCTTTCTCCTCCACTCTCCTCCCTCTGTCCTGCTCCCTTCTGCTCTACTTCCTCCTCCTCGTTCCCTCCAAAGCCCTTCGCCGGACAAACGTGAACACCTATTTACGGATTCTCGAAGAACTACGAGTGCCACAAACAAGGCGCTGGCGGGGAGGCGACAAGCGCCTCCCCCATCCATCTTCCTCAGAGAGTCCAACTTATAACAACGAGGCACGCCAGCCAACTACAAGCCGCTCTGGGTAGACCCCACCCTCCGTTTGTGGAAGTACGGCGCCTTGCCCGTCTTGCGAACCTTCTCGCGCTCACCCGCCTTCAGAGAGCGCTCCATCTCGCGCATCTCCCCGAGGTGTCTTCGCTGCTTATCCTCCCAGGAGGTCGAAGTGAGGGACGGCGGGAAGGAGACTCTTTTATATGGCCGATGGGGGCTTCTCGCGGTGAACTGGGTGGCAGCGAACCGTGGCGTTTCTACAGGCAGAAGGAAGAGATTGTAAGGACTGCCCAGCGGGAGTATCCCGCTGGCGGGTCTCATTGCCGACAGACTAGCACCAGCGGGGCATCTCACGACTTGACCAACGCAAGAAGAAATGCTGAAGCCTGACGTTTCGGCCAGCAGATTGAGGGAGCCAACCATAATCAAAATCATCATCGGCTGCAACGGAGGACGATGAGGAGAAGGAAGGCGCCGGCACGGCACTGAAGCTGTGACCCCTGTGACCTTCCCCCGTGACCTGTGACCCCTCCCCCGCGGGACCCCCGTGACCTTCGCGACCCCTCCCCCGTGGGACCCCCGCGACCCCTGTGAGTGACCCCTGTCCCGCGGGACCCCCGCCCGTGACCCTTGGGCGACGACGATCGACCGACGACGGCAGAGACCGACGACGACAGCGGCGAGACCCAGCGCCCTCGGGGCTGCAACCCTCAAGGGCGTTTCCGGGAGCCTCTGGGGATCTCCAAAAGGCCCACGAGGAACCGAAAACACGCTAAAGAGAACACCTGCGGTCCTCGATCCTCTCCAGCGGCCGACGCGGCGGCGGCGGGGGCCCCGGGGAACCTCGAACCGACGGCAACGACGACGAGGAATACGTAGGCGGAGGAACAGCACGACGACGACGACGACGACGACGACGAGAGAGAAGGCAGGCAGCCAGGCACTGGGACGCCGGGCGCGCCGGGCTCCGAGGGGGAAATCGTCGAAGTCGCCGCCACCGCTGCCGTCGTGCCTCCTTCGTCCTCCTCCTCCTCCTCCTCCTCCTGCTCCTCCTCCCTTTCCGCTCCTCCTTTCGTCCCCCGACGGAGACAGAACTCGCTGGGCGACCGAACCGGAACAAGAACCGAACCGAACCAGAAATACAAATGTGACGAATCGAATCGAATCGAACAGAACTGGAATGATTACGACGCCGCACCAAACCGAACCGAACCGGAGTCACCTCGGAACCGAACCAAACCGAACCAGAACTTTCCTGTATTCTGCGCATCGTAACCATGATCTACCTCGGCCCCGATGGTTTCCTGGCGGGCCTTTGAACAGATGCGGATCCGTTCCGTTCACGTACAGGGAACACGTCGCCCACACCAGCGCCCTGGTCGCCCTTGCATAGTTTCAAGAGGGAGAGGGGGTTAGCGCGTCATGATCTGAACCGAGGAGTGGGGCCAGAGAACTGGTTGGAAAAAGAGAAGCCATGAGATGCATGGCCCCGGCCATGGCATCCGAACCCGTCTAGTTCTCACCCGCCTGTCTGACACTCCAGGTGCTTTTCTTGCGCGCGCGAGCACGTCAACTGCACACTGAAGGGGAAGACAGCCGAGGTGGGGTGCCAGAACGGCCCAAGGCCTCCTTACTGGCCGATCGATCCCAAACATGGAGTGCGGAGAGGGGGGAGGAGCGGGAGGGGGGGAACAGATGGGGGGAGGGAACGAAAGGGGAGCGGATGGTAGCATTGGGGAGACGGGAGCCGAGGGGCAGTGCGACGGGGGAGGGGGGAGGGGGTGAGGGAGGGTGGGTGGGGGGCAAGTGTGCGCGGGCGCGGGGGCTTGGCGCCTGGTTCAAGGTTTGCTTCACGTCGCTGCTGAGCTGCGTAGCAAGTTCCGAAGCCCACCTCCCCTGTTTGCCAAATAACCCCCCCCCGATGTCCCGCGCGAGAGAAGGAACGTTCCGTCGCCGCCCCTCACCTCGCCCACTTCCTACTAGGTGCCCTTGCCTCGCTGCACAATCAGATGCGTCGATAAGGCAGGTCGGACGTTCCACTTGAGATTCCCGCACTGTTGATCCACGAGCTTCGATATTCAAACAGATACACGCATTGGTGGCAGGTGATTTCAAAAAAATGATTTCCCCTCCGCGCCGCGCACATTCGTGTCAAAGTGTCGGACAGCTAGACGGAAGCAGGGTGTATCAGATGTAACTGAGGCTCGCCATTGAAACCTCCCCGACTGCTGACCCGAAAACCTTCGCTCCGCTGTAGAAACGTGCCGGCTACGCTTCAGAGCAGGGCCGATGCCGACGGGAAGTTCCTGCTTAGGCAACATGGCCCATACATGCCTTGCCATAAATGTCAAACGTTGAACGTTCCCACATGTTTCGTACGAGAACCGCGCACCCGCCAAATCTGAAGCCCAGCAAACCCCTGCCTTATGTGCCGCGTCTGTGGCTGGACGTGCGCATGTATGAGCTGCGCGGGCGACTTACGACGCTGTGCGGGCGGGCAAAAACACTCCGACTGGACTGTTCCCCGCAACGCGTTCTGGCTTCGACATTGGAATTATCCTGGCGAAGGACACAACCATATGCAATTGTGAATACCGCAATTGTGAATATATTCTTCGGCGGCGCTCCCTATAGCGCCACGAAGCGTGTGAGGGGTGCCGACATGGGTGCGCGGGACGCGTGCGGGCACACCCACTGGGACCTTCGGTGGAGCTCCCTATGTGGCGACGAAACGTGTGAGGGGTGTGCCGACATGGGTGTGCGGGACGCGTGCGGGCACACCCACTGGGACCTTCGGTGGAGCTCCCGATGGGGCGACGAAACGTGTGAGGGGTGTGCCGAAATGGGTGTGCGGGACGCATGCGGGCACACCCACTGGGACCTTCGGTGGAGCCCCCTACGGGGCCACGAAACGTGCGAGGGGTGTGCCGAAATGGGCGTGCGGGACGCATGCGGGTTTTTTTTGTCAGCCATCCCCTGGGGGCCTGAACGATTTTGAAACAGCAAACACATCGGCACATATGGCCGATGACGACCAGTGCTCAGCCGCTGAGCGCGTTTAACGTACAGCACAGCGGTTGAGGGACAGCTAGCGGGAAGAAAAGGACGGCCCCGAAGGGCCCCAGATCTAGCCCACCACGCCATCCACCAAAACCTGGCCACGTTGCGTCGCTCGCGGGCCCAGCAGCAGGCCTTGCCACCGCCGACGCCTCGCGGGCCTGAATGCGCGCCAAAATCGCCGCCATTCCTGCCGTCTCTATCAGCCCTGACGGCGAGAGCGGCAGGCTGACGTCGGGCGGCGGAGGCCGCTGAGACGCGTAGCAGAAGAACGCCACTCCACGGCTCGAAGACTCACTCACCGTGCTGCTGTCACGGCAGCGCGTAGCGCGGATAAGCACCAGAAAAGATACGCCTCAGCGTGGCGGCACCTCCTGCCAATCTGCGCTGAATGCACTCCTTGCCGAGCATGTGGCAGCGGGCGGAAGGGTACGCTCCGCACGTGGTGCAAAAGAAGAGGGTGAGCCCCTGCTCACCCTTACCGACAATGCAATGCGCAAGGGAGTGCCCCAGGGGCCGATCCAAAACGCCTCGCCACAGCCTACTGGGTCCTCTACATCCCAACATGGGCCGCGCCTCCAGGTCCGTGGAAAGACAAAGGCATTGCAAACATCTAGCGCGGCCCTGACCAATCTCTTGCCAGGAATGCCAACCTCCAGATTTTTTTGTTTAAAAAAATCCCTCAGCGCGACCCTACCTAGGAGTTGGAGCCCCTAGGAAAGCAGCATTAGTAGTAACAGTAAAGCTAAGCTAAAGCTTAAAAAAAAGCTAAGCTAAAGCTGCGCCAAAGCTAAGCTAAAGCTAAGCTAACGCTAAGCTAAAGCTAAGCCAAAGCTAAGCTAAAGCTGAGCTAAAGCTGAAGCTAAGCTAACACTAAGCTAGCGCTAAGCTAGAGCTAAGCTAAAACTAAGTTAGAGCTAAGCTGAAGCTAAGCTAAAGATAAGCTGAAGCTAAGCTGAAACCAAGCTAAAGCTAAGCTGAAGCTAAGCGAGAGCTAAGCTAAAGCTAAGCTGAAGCTAAGCTGACGCTAAGCTAGAGCTAAGCTAAAATTAAGCTGAAGCTAAGCTGAAGCTAAGCTGAAGCTAAGCTAAAGCTAAGCTAAAGCTAGAGCTAAAGTTAAAGCTACAACTAAAATTAAAGCTAAGCTAAAGCTAAGCTGAAGCAGAAGCTAAGCTAAAGCTAAGCTAAAGCTAGAGCTAAAGCTAAAGCTAAGCTAGAGCTAAGCTGAAGCTAAGCTAACGCTAAGCTAGAGCTAAGCTAAAGCTAAGCGAAAGCTAAGCTGCAGCTAAGCTAGAGCTAAGCTAAAGCTAAGCTAGAGCTAAGCTGAAGCTAAGCTGAAGCTAAGCTGAAGCTAAGCTAGAGCTAAGCAAGGCTAAGCTAGAGCTAAGCTGGCGCTAAGCTGAAGCTAAGCTAAAGCTAAGTTAAAGCTAAGCTGAAGCTAAGCTAAGGCTAAGCTACAGCTAAGCTAAAGCTAAGCTAAAACTAAGCTAAAGCTAAGCTAAAGCTGAGCTAAAGCTAAGATGAAGCTAAGCTAAGCTGGGTGAACCCAGGGGGCGCAACTGGGGGGAACCGCGGGGCGGGGGCTGGGGGGGCCGCCCGGGGCGCTTTCCACTGCCCGGCCCCTTTAAGCTAGAGCGTAAGAGCCCTTCTAGGCAGAGCCTAGGTAGGGGGGGAAAAAAAAACTGAGCCCTCGGCCCTGTGGGCTGACGGTCAATCCTCTCGGGAGGAAAGGTGGCTAGCACGGTGCCCGCCACTCTCGCCGCAAAGACGAGTAAATCGCACTTCCTGTCCACCTCCGTTCTTTCATGCACACTGGGTTGAGGATGGAGGAGGAGAGCTTGCTTGGCCAGGGCGTCGGCTTTCAAGTTGCCTATGCCGATCCGTCTCTCGCGCGCTGGCAGGGCGTCTTGAACAGCGCGCGCGCGGTGCGCAGGAGCGTGGTGCACCGACGGGGTGGGGGGCTCTTCATGTAGAAGGGCACCTCTCCGAAGGCCAGCATAACGATGTGTATGGAAAACCTGGCATTCCCGCGTAGCCATACAGATGCGCACCACATTCATGCAATCGGCGTGGCGGTCGCCGCCGTTGCTCTGAAACATCGGGGGCAAGGCCATGCACAGGTGCTCCGCAGCTTGGGAGGTCTGCGGGAGGACTGAAAGCACCGCGCCTTTGGCGCGCGCAATAATAGTGCCACCTTCGCCCAAGAAAACCCAAGAGTGGGCCGCCCGAGACAGCTCCCTGACGGCGTGGCGAAAGGCCGAGCCGTCCATGACGACGTCGCAACCCGAGAGGTCCACCGAGCCCCAATCAATAATACCCCCTTTCGTGCGAAAACAGGATGGTCTGGGTGGCCGAGGAAGGGGGGAGGGGGGTGGGAGGCCTCAGGGTGCTCCCACTTTAACTCATCGAAAAACAAACGGTCCTGACTTTCAAGAGCTTCGTCCAGCCATTCGACGGGAGCCTCATCCGCAACGCCGTTCCGAGCCGCGACGGCCTCAGGGCGAAGGCGCTGCCAAACGCGGCGCCGCGCACTATCAGGCATCCCACACTTAGGGCATTGCCCGTCGCACGCATATCCAACAGCCTGAGCCCTCGAACGGGCCCGCGCCCCTTTGCAGAAGACGCTCGAAGCCAGGTACTTTTGCTGAGGGGTGAATGTCCTTCTCCTGGGGCCCAACAAGGTTTCGAGGGGACCCGCGCAAAACCGAACACCGTCAGCTCCAGGGGTGTCCTGGCACAATACACGCTCGTGCTTACGTTGGACAGCTAACTGCAACATGTGGGCCAGCATCGCAGGCGAGGTGTACCCCAGATGCACCTCGCGACCGCAGTCGTCTTCAAAAGTGAGGGGGGTCACCGACTGCCGCCCTATCCTAGTCAAAGACATGTGCATAAGCTGCAGAGGTCCTCGTGATGATCGCCACGTGACCTTGTCATCGAAGGGTACAGCGCGCCAAAGCTGAGCAATTTCCTTGACATCATACAGAGAAGTCGACGGGGAAGTGAGGGCCAGCCAAACAACCGAAGCCCACTGTAAGGCCGGCGCAACGGACGGCCTCCACATGGGGTCCCCAAGGGGAACCAAACGCGCCTGGAGGAAGCACCCGCGGTGCCTAGGGGGGTGCGAAGATAAAAGCACACGTTGAGCCACTTGGAGCTCGCCTTGACTCACCCCCGCAACCGCCGAGCCAAAACTGGCCGCAGGTAAAGCTCCACACGCGTAGATTTTCCCCATTCGCGATCGTTGACGGGGCAGGGCCGAACGATACCTCATCAAAACTTTGTGTCTCTTCCTCGTGTGGGAGAACATGTGTTTTCTTTTCCACATACTATGTTTGGTACATCCTGACTGACCTGGTGCAAAATCCGTGCCGAGAGCGACCGCGCCGTTCGTGACCTTCCCGGCCAGCTGCCCGAGGTGCCGAGCGATCTTCTGGGCGAGGGTGCGGCTGCCGGCAAAGGTGCTGACCTTGTCGGGCTGAATGCCGACGCGCAACTCGTCCCTAAACAAGACGTGCAAGCATGCCGCGGCCTGCGTGATATTGGCCAGGACCTCGCGTTCCGAGCCCGACGCTGTGACGCTATCATCGTCCACATACGACGACAAATCGACGCTGGGTTATCTTCAACAAACTTGTCAAACGCTTCGAAGCTGTAAACTCTAACCATGATATCATTGAAAATGTCTCCCGCGGGAAGACCAGATCGGGCGAAATAAGGCTGGGCCCCGTAATGGGCTCCCAAACGGAGCAAACGTGGGCCCCTCCAATAATTAAACGTCGTTTAAACAATAACCTCGTTGATGCCGTAACGTATCGCTCTATCCGTGTGGAG